GAAGTATATTTGGTTTCAAATTCTGATATACAGGCTGTATAGCCATAAGATTGTCATCAATTAAATATCTATAAACCTACTCTCTAAGTTTTTTATTCTACTTCTAGGGTTGGTTTGTTTAAAAAAAAAAAAAAAAGCAGTGTTCAGGGTGCCAGGCAGACCTCGAGTATTTGACCTACTGAAGCTTCTGTGTCTGTGACTGCATATACTAGGTTCTGCCTTTAATGAATAGTTCTCTTATTAATCCTTTAATCACCAGGGTGACCTTTCACAGACCTTTTACAGAGGCTGAGTTTATAGATGTTTAATTTCTTACCTTTCCGCAGTGTGTAGGCTTGTGCTACTAGAAACAGTCAAATGAGTAGTTATATGTTTTAAAATAAGAATTAAATATAAGATTCTTTTTAAAATACCTTTTTGTTAAAATATTTATTTCTCAGTCGATAACATTTCTGTCTTACTTGAGCCATATTCAAAATAAGTATCTTAGTTTTAGGGTTCTTTTAGGACAGTGTTTAAGTCTTCCATCCCATCACTTTTTTCTAAACCAAAATATCATCTCTGGCTTCAGTATAAATATTCTAGTTAGAAGTTAGAAGAGTAACATTTCATTGAGTTTAAAGATGGATCATCATCAACATGAACTGAATCTCTGATGTAAGCCAAACACTGTTCATGCATTGAAAATTCTGGGATGAGTAAGGTAAGATGTTTTTCAGAAAGGTTTAATTGTTTATGTAAAACTGTTTATAATTAATTAAAAACAACCAAAATAATGCAGCACATTAAATTCTTCGACTTACCCATGATCCAAGTACTAAGCCATATAGAGAGGAAGATAATTTAACTTGATTATTTAAAAAGTTACACTTTTTCATACTACTGAAGCAGTAAGGAGTGCTAAATAAAATATATTGAGGGGAAAAGCCAAAGTATTTTGGATAGAGGCTCCAAAAATACCTCTAGTCATCAAATGCTGTGTCATTTCAGTTTTGGTAGTGGACAGAGAAGGTAGGGAAATTCCAGGAAAGTAAGCTGAGATGATCACTGCATAGGAACATGGCAGTCTATAGGACACACTCTCAACTCTACAGAGAAGATTTACTTCCTTTTGTTTGCTTGTTTGTCTTGTTTTCTATTTTATGATCTTAATGTAATCAATGTCCATTCTCTGGCTAGTTCAGACCAGATGATATTGATTAACATTATGTCTAATTTAACTATGACAAAATGCCCTTTATTGGATTAAAAAATGTATACTGATATCATTTTAAAAAACCTTTTATTCTAAAGTATATTAATTTCAGTAGCCTTTATAAATTTTCTTATCAATATGGACCAACAGTTTCGGTTGGGAGAACATAGTAGATTCATATATGAATGATAACTTCTCCTCTGTACACTAGAAGCAAATGATAAAAGGTAAAGTGTTACAGAGGTTGGACTTGAAAAAAAGTCAATAAACTGCAGATATCTAAAACTACAAACTAGTTGCAGTGACGTGGCCTAAGAATGCTGAATGGGACACTTGGAAATAGAGTCAATGGCTTACTAATATGTGATGTCTAGGAGCTGAAATTATTCTTAACCGATATAGTTCATAACATGCAAGGATTGCATATTGATAGTCTGTCTGATTGTGAGTCTGAGACTGTTACCTCATACAATAGTGTGATCTCGAGCAATGAGAAGACCAAGATATCCTTGGCTAGCTGTAGAAACTTGGTTATGCTGTCCATTGGCTTAATGATGCAATTTGTTGTCAGAGATATCATAGTGAGGAAGGGAACATTTTAATCATTTGATTATAAAGTTATTTATCATGCTAAGTGACAACTAAAATTCCGATGAGTTAAGAGGCCTCATGATAGCTGAGAGAGGAAAGATTTCTTTCATGGAAATAAGCTTGTAATTTCTGATTGTAAGGCATGTGAGCAAACTTACCTTAAGGAATAAAAAAACGTAACATCAAATTAACTTTACTGAGCCTTGTATGTTCATGCATGCCAGTTATCTCAGCCACGTTAGGAAAACTGTTAATTCAAGGCCAGCCTGGGCTACATTGCTAGCAAGACACTATTCAGAAACAAACAAGCAAACAAACAGCAACAACAACAAAAACCAAGCAAACAAATGAAATCAATTTTATGAGAAAGCCTAGTATTTCTGAATAACATTAAAAAAAATCATGAAGTAAAAAGGGCAGGCACAAAAGAGAAAGACTTCATCATGGACAGTGTTAAGTGGAGACTAACTTGAACGAGATGTTAGAATAGGTTCTTCTGACTATCTCCCCTTAGAAGTACCCTCATGAAAGTATCTGCAAAAAGACCAAAGGAAGAACTGCTAATGTCACAACACTTAGTAGCATGCAGTGGGAAGGAGATACAGGAAGGAAGGGTCACCCACCCCAGCCCCAGCCCTTGGCAGTGTGGTGCTGTGGTTGTCACCTCCAAAGAAGGGGGTGCATAGGACCTTAGCACAGTGTATCGAATACCAGCTAATGTCATAACTCTGGGGAAGGGACTGGTGGTGATGGGAGGAAGGAGATAGGATTTGAATGGAGAACAAAGAGGGAGAGGGTGTAGAGAGTTATTTAGTGTTTGTGTGTGAAACTGACAAATAGTAAGGTTAATTTAAAAAGAAACATAAAATTAAAGAAAACATTGATACTCACTGAACCAAATACCATAAAGGAGAAACACACATTGTGTGGTTTCTGACTATACTTCTTTCTTGCTTTGTAATCATTTACTATCAAGCAAGCATCTCTTCTTTTATTCCTCTATTATAATCCTAGTCATTTCAGAATTCAAGATTATGTCTTTTATTCATGATGCATTTAATTTTTCTTGCAGTGTTGAGGTATTGCTATTGTCCTGTAAATAAATACCCCTTGCTAGCACCTGAGTCTGGTTCTATATTCCCAATTTTTGTAATTTTTTTCATTATAGCATAAATATTTTGTCATAAAAATTACTAACATTCATAGTGTTTAAAAAGTGTTTGTTTTTCTCTAAAGTCTAACTACTTATTAATAAAATTCATTCACTTCTCCTTTTAATTGATTCATTCATTAAATAAAGTTATTGTTCTCAACAACTATTATATGCTAGGCTATTGCTACCTGCTGTTTATGAAACTTTGCACACTATCAGCAAGTAACCAGCCACCCTTGAAATGAAAGACTCATGGAAAAGACTTCCTGTTAGTAAGAAAAAGATGTTAGAAAACTGTGCAAGTCTAACCCTGAGAGAAATCAACATCAAAAACATTGGTGTGTGAATTTCATAGTAACCACACACACATGAGTATGAGGACTTTGGTGTGTTCATGTTACATAATAAGCACACAGAGATGAGTATAAGGACATTTGTTCCTTCTCATATGTGAAAATAATCTTTGGCACTAATTTTCAAGTTTCTGTGAGTGTGTTCAACATGTAAATACAACAGAACTAAGAGGAAAATACATGCTCAGATAGGTACAAGTTTATAGAGTAAAGAATACCAGCAATGGTGGTTTCAAAATCAATTTATTTCATTTGTGAATGAAAGAAACAGTTCAAAAACTCATTTTCTTAATGAATAATGCAGCATTATTAAGCACAATCTATATTGTTTGAAGGACACACTATAAAGAATACACATTACACGAATGACTTGACATATGATGACATAAAATGTTATTGAAAAACAATTAAACAATCATTTAATTCCCTTTAGTGTATCTTTTTTCTTCTTAAAATTGATAAATATCTTTGTTAAACGTTTTTCATCTTACACTTCCAGCTAACAGCCCATCACTGAGAGAAGTCAGGTCAGGCAGGGCAGGGATACTGAGGCAGGAGCTGATGCAGAGGCCATGGAGAAGTGCTGCTTTTCAGTTTCCTTTCCATGGCTTCCTTAGTCTGCTTTCATATAGCACCCAAAACCACCAGCCCACGGTAGCACCACTCTCAGTGAGCTGCATCTTCAAACATCAATCATTAACCAGTAAAATGTACTCCATGCTTGACCATGGGCCAATCTTGAAGGAACATTTTATCAGCTGAGATTTTCTCTTTCAAAATAACGTTTGATATAAAAATAGGCAGCACAATTGACTCCTTGTCATAGTGACACACAAACAAATTACTATCGATCTACAACCATTTCTTTTTGCTTATCCCCAAGATCTAATATTAGTATTACAATAAAAAATATTCCAAACTTTAAAATTCCCAGTTCTTAAATATGTAAACACTTTAAAAGTATAGTCTCTTTAAAACATCTGAAGTTTCTCTAAAATATGCAAAGCCTCTCTAAAATGTCAAAGTCCAATAAAAATATGTTGCATATTTTCTTATTTCAGTGGGGGTGGAATCAGGGCATAGTTAAAAGCAAAGCAAAGCTGAGCCAAGCCTTACTGTGTAAAAAGTTCAGTGCTTGATATCTTGGACCCACTCACTGCCCTCTGGGTTCCAAAGGACCTCAGCCACTTCTGTAGCTCTGCCCTCTGCAGCACACACATTTTGTCCCCTAGGCTACTGTCCTTGATAGACATCCCACGGTACTAGCATCTCCAAAATGTTGAGGCCTGCCCTGCTACTGGGCTACACCTTCAACAATAGCCTCTTCTGGGGTCTGTTCAGGGTCTCTGAACCTGTCACATGGTACCAGACCTCATCTTCTATTTTTGACCCCTGCAATCCTGGGGCTTCAACTTTAATTGAGGCTGTCCATTCACCAGTGGCCTCTCCAGTCCTCTCTCCATTCGTCTTCTCCACTTTGATCCTTAAAATATCTGGATGGCTGCCTTGAAAGTTAAAACTGAACATTTTCATGACAATGTTGACAACTTTTATGGCTTGCTTTAACTTACCATTCTTCAGAACAAGATTTTTTCCCCAGAGAAAGTATAATTATAGCACAGTGTTACAATTTTACATTGACAAGATGCTATGTGAAAGGTGATAATTTCCTGTTTATGTTTGTTTTTGCATGTAGTTAAGACTAAAACCCACCTGTAGAGACGTTGCAGGTGTAGCTGCTGTGTCACATTGTGTCATTAGGTGGCACAGAGGAGAGAGGCTATATTTAAATTCATTTTTCTGACCTATAAACATTTGAATAGTTAGTATCCTAGCATTCCCTGAAGATTGCGAGCGCCATGGAACCTGGACAGGAAGCCTGAGTCCACAAGCATTTGGATATTGCCTAGCCCTGCAGTGGGTGGAAAGGCACATAGCGCCTGAGATGACCGCTTCCCAGGTGCTGTAAATGCACGATCAGTGCATAGCACTCTTATGACCACTCCTGAGATGATCCCAGAGACGAAGAGACCCCAGACCCTGGGAAGAGCAAGTAAGTGGTGAAGAAATGGAAGAGAAAGAGAAACAGAAGGATGTGGGCACAATGAAGAGAGGCAGAACTGGAGACTCGAGGGTAGTGAGGTTAGGGAAATTCTGGCCAGTGCTGCCGCTGGGGGACACGTCTGGGACCACAGCCCTGCCACAACAGGAGTCTGTCACCACCAAAGGCCATGTAGATGCCTCTGGGCTGGGCTGCCACGTTGGAGCTGTTTAGACTGTCCCCACCCCTCAGCTGGACATTATAGGAGAGCTGGCCCTGAAGGCCTGAGAGGAGAGCTGACTCCGCCCCTATCCAGCTGCAGGTCCTCAGACAGCAACTGGAATGATTTGTAGGTGAGCCTCTCCTCCCTCATACATAGGACACAACAGTTAGAGACCTGACACTTCTACTCATTCCTGTGTAGTGGGGTAGACCAGGGAGAGATACACTGCCCCTTCTTGTCCATCACCACCTGCAGCTGTGGGAGACCTGGCCATGGGGTCATGAGAAAGTCCCCGAGCTAAACCTGTGAGAATTTGCCCTGCTACTTGTCTGCCAAGTGACAAGGGCAAGGGAGAGATGATAATCCCCTCAACCCCCTACATGACAGGCAGAAGAGCAGATCCCAAGATAATCAGGTCTTCGAGCTGACCCTGTCCCTCACTTTCCACAGCACTTAGGAAAGCAGGCCCTGCACCTTGCCTAGGTAGCACAGTAGAGCTGGCTGTGAATGTGGGGATTGATGCTGAACCAGTCCTGAGGGTGTGAGCATGGGAGAGGCAGCCCTGTCTCTCGTCTTCCGGGTGATGGGACAGATGAGGGTTATACTCCCTGTTCCCTTCCCTCGATCCTCATCATCTATGGCAGGCAGGAGAGCGGGCCCTGGGGTCATGAATGGGAGACCTGGTCATGTCCCTCAGTGGCTGTAACACTTGGGAGAGTAGGCCCTGCACCTCACCTGGGCAGCAGGGTAGAGCTGACACTGGTTTCAGAGGTTGCTGGTGAGACACTTGATGGCCTGTGAGCAGGAGACCAGTGGGCTGACCAGCTCAGACACCTCTCAGGCCCAACATCTACTCGACTTATGAACTGCCAGAGTGAATGAAGGAACTGGTCCTACAGATCCAAAACTGTAAGATCTACATGACACAGGGAAAGAACAGGATATCCAAGACAAATCTCTGTGAGGCTCAAGTATTGATAGAGTAACAGAAGCCAGAGGCCCCATACCAGACCAATAAGTCACTGCAAGCAAATAAACATTTGGGAGCAAAGAAAGGTGGGCAAAATGATATATTGTGGGCCACACTGTGACACACTACAGTTTCCACAGGGAGAAACTTGTTTCTCCAACCTCTGTTGGTAGGGAGGTTGCGGGCTGGTGGTGGGTACAGTGGTAGGGAAGATGACTGAGATGAGGGTGCATGATGTGAAATTCAGAAAAAAATCAATAAAAAGTTAAAAACGAGACTACAAGTAATGCGGGCATATACACTGCCAGACCAAAGTTGCACACTATGTTGATGTATAAAATAAATACCATGTATCTTGAGAATAATCAGTTTTAGCTGCTGAGTTTATTTTACATATATCCTATTTGGGTTTTTCTCAGTTTGACAACAGCTAGAGTCACTTAAGAAGAGGAAACCTTAATTGAGAAAATTCCCAACCAAATTGGCTTAAAGGCTGTGTGTCATTTCCTCAGTGAATGGTTGTAATAGAAGGGCCCAGCCCACTGTGGATGATGCCATCCCTAGGCTGGTGGCCACTGATGGTATAAGAAAGCAGGGTGAGCAACGCATAGGGAGCGAGCCAGTAAGCAGCCTCCTCCATGGCTTCTGTGCTTCAGGTCCTGACACCAAGTTCCTGATCCTGACTCCCTTCAGTGATAGGCTGTAAGCGGAAATAAACCCATTCCTCCTCAAGTTGCTTTGGATCATGATGTCTTATCATAGCAGGAGAAACTCTAGCAAAGACTACATGATTTCTATTTCCCTTACTTATATATTTTTTAATCATCTAGAAAAGAGAATGAACAAAGTCTAGAACTGTAAGTATGAAACAAGAATACAAACTTCATTGACCAAATGAGAATCTTAGAAACAGTGTAATGTAGTGATCACAGATGTCTATCCCAGGGCCAGGTTAGAGTCAGTTGAAAAAAGTGCCATTGCCAACTTCTCGCTTGGGTTAATCCTTTCACTTGTCAGTTCCACTATGGATAAATTTAAGACAATATTATATCACCATATATGGCCTGGAGATTCAATTAAAGAGTGTATGCTCTACTTTATAAATGCTTACTAATTTTGTTAATGTTCAAAAAATCTACCTTAGCTTCAGTTAGAGTAAAGGAATCTGGTCTTGAGTATTGATCTTGAGGTTGAAAATATATATGACAAAGCACACTTATTATGATTTGCAACAATTGGATCGTGGAAATACTCTCAGAAGTGAAGTCACATTGCATTTAGAGACAGAATTGTGGTTTTGGAATATAGCATCATGAACTTGCTTAATTGTTTCATTATATATTGATTGACAAAGTGTTCCATTTAGTGATTGGCAGATTAAGTAGAATTTGCTGAGATGTAAAACATGTGATCTTTTGTCTAAGCTGAAATGAACACTTTGGACCTAGTGAAATAAACGTAATATTATGTAGTTCACGTAGGTCATTATAAATCATTTTCATTCTCCCTCCCAGAGGAGTCCAAGGAAAGGAATTAAGTATATGATACAAGGTATAATCCAAAAACTGTACCTTTGTTAATATATGCAGTGTATCTCAGTCTAGCTTTATAAGGTCTAATTCATCTGTAAACCATAACATTCTGTGACTTAAAATTATAAAGTATGAAATGACTTTAGTGCTGCTTATAGATTTTTTTTTAGTGTGTAATGCCTGAGGTCTTTTAGTTCTTGCTTGTCCTAAATTTAATTGAAGTGGAATCAAGCTGAAGACAGCTTCCACAGCCTCTGTCAGTCAGTAATCCTCCAGGGGCTGCAGAGCGAAGTCTCCCTGTGAGCTAAGGATATAGAGGCTGTTTGTAACTTTTCTCTTTTTCTTCCTGCTATAAAGAGCTGTTCTATAGTATACAGCTAATTGCAGTCTCTTATTCTGGCTCCTTGATTATTAACTGAAATTAGTAATGAAGAAAATAGTTAAAATCTTAAATTGTGTGAAAATGTGCCATTTTATAAAAACCTATTGTGAGTTCCTCAAAGCAAAGGTGTCTGCAGTCTGGCCTCCCTCAGGGATAGTAATCTAGTGATGGCATAGGTCCTGCCACATCTGCTCACATGTTTAACATGAGTTCCAAACTGCTGCAGTCTCTTTAGCTTCTCTAACTTATTCTTGTACGTGAAATTAATGAGTGAAACATAAACACACAGTTAATAGATTATCTTCTTATTTTAGAATGCTTAGTTATTGTCCTAGGTTTGTCTCCAGATTTCTTTCAGGTAATGCAACTGTAACTTGGTAGAAATGTCTGTGGGTGACACATGTTAGTGTTGAATATAATGACAAGCACTCATTTGTTCTATATAGAATTGTAAAAGTCACAAGCTCTTATTGAATTTCATTCCTTTAGGCTACCACACAACATATGCCCCATTGATAATTTTTAAATTATACATTTGATAATGGTAAAAATGATATATTGTCTAGGATTGTCACATATTTTCACTAGTAGCTAAACCATGAGAAGTGAATCTTATAAGCACCGTTTGTTTGATTAACAAAGAACCCCGTGCTGTTTTCAAAATGACACATCTTTGAGGACAGTAGTCATGTAATCATGGTACTAACATTTCTCAGAAGAGTTAAGAAATAAAGTGATAACAGCACATGCCTCTAATCTCAGCTACATGGGAGTCTGAGAGAGTAAGACCATAAGTTTAAAGGCAAGAACTCTGTTTCAAAATAAATATAAAAAGAGTTGAACGGTAGAGTACATACATATGCATCCTGGAAGGTCTTGGCATTGGTCAATCCTTACTATAGATGATGGATGGATGAATGGGTGGATAGATAGATAGACAGACAGACATACAGATAGAGTGGTGGTTTGAATAGGCATCGTCCCCATAGACTCAAGTATTTGAATTCTTGATTATAAGGAGTGGCAGTATAGGTGGGTGTGGCCCTGTTGGAGTAGTGTGGCCTTACTGGAGGAAGTGTACTAATGTGGGAGCAGTCTTTGATATCTCCTATGCTTAGATTCTGCCCAGTGTGGTACACAGTCTCATTCTGCTGCCTGCAGATCAAAATGTAGAACTTATAGCTCCTTCTCCAGCAAAATGTCTGTCTGGATCCTGCCATGCTTCCCATGTGATGACAATTGACTAACCCTCTGAAAGTATAAGCCAGCCCCAGTTAAATGTTTTCTTTATATGAGTTGCCTTGGTCATGATTTCTTTTCCACAGGAATAAAACCCTAACTCAGACAGACAGCAGACAGACAGACAGACAGAAAGACAGACAGACAGACAGACAGACAGACAGGAAAAAATTGGGCTCACATTCCGAAATTTCATTCCTTCAGAGGTACAGATATGAATTAGAGAAGAAGAATAGTAGCATTTGCTGGCAGAGTTGGAAGGAGGTAGAGAAACAGGCAGGAAGGTGTGGCGGCTGGACCATAACCAGCCTACTCTTCATTTGTTCAGAAACTATCTGCTAAACCAAAGCCATGTCATTCATTTGCATAGAAAACTTAAAATATACATATTTTATTTATTTATAAAGTATGCCTACTCCCTAGCAGGCATAGACAGTTAAGTATAAGCATAG